GGTTTCAGCCTCAAGTGAAAGAAACAGTGACACATTCCTCAGTCTGTTTTTTTTAGCTTAGCTTAGCTTGAAGTGGGAGCAAAAGGGTGATAAATAAGTTTCTTTCGCTAGCTTAGTTAGATCAAAGTCAGATACTACAAAAGTGAAAATGGAAGGGTTCCACAATTCCATGCCTTCCGTGCAGTAACTTTGCATTAAAAAGAGCAGGAAACTGCCACAGAAAATGTTAAAAGTATTATCACCGATTTTTTAATTAGTCAAAGATTGTCTAATATAGCGATAACATGTACACATAAATAGTTAACAACGACCCTAGCTGAGAAAATATGGTTACTATTTTGAACCGTTAAATCTTTATAGTCAATTTGTTACGAATTATTTTGATGTGATATATATATATATATATATTTTGGTAGAAAGGAATTCACATTTTAATGCGAATTTATGTGTATCTAGGAATAGAAAGCTCATTATATTATTTATTGGACACTAGCGCACAAACCACTAAGTCTTTTGATCTCCTTCACCATGCATGTACATTTTTCTTCCCCAATAATAACTTGTAGCTTGTTATTAGCCGTGAACTTGTCATCTAATTGGGATGAAAAAGCTAGCAAGAGAAAAGAAAAAAAAAAAAAAAAAGAGACACCATGCTCTCGCCTAGGCTTTAGCCTTAATCTCCTTTTAGTTGGTTTGCCATAAATGGCCTTCTTTGTGTACGAAATGATAGAACTTCTAGTATGCATGGACAGGAAAAAGAAAATTAACTTCCAAGAATGCTTTACGTCAGGACCTTTTTTAGCCATTGTGCTAATAATATACACGCTTTTACGAGTAAATTAGTGGTGGGTGTATAATTTTCAGAAAAAGAAAAATAAGAGAAAAACCATATTAATTGTTACGTCGCTTTCAGTATTTTGAGGGATGGCTCGCGCAGGAGGGGAAAGCTTTATGGGAACGCTTCACTTTACATAATAATGTTTGGGAAATGTTTTGTTGATGATCGATCAATGAAAGAGAAATGGAGGCTGGCTGGAATTTGTTTGTCTTTATTCTTTTGGCCAGGTTTCAAAATGGCATATACATATAATAATAATAATTAATTAATTACTAAACAATATCTAAGATTAAAATATATACAAGCCCGTGCATTTTGGCATCACAAAGCCCGCCCCTATTGTGGCCATTGTCTAGTGGGGTTAATAAAATCGCAAACGCAGTCAGACGCGCAGAGGTTGGAACTTGGAGCTATCCTCCATGGTTTATTGGCACTCGTGAGCCCTATATTGTATACTATACTATATATATATGTATAATTTATTCTACTATATCTATATTAATTCTTCATTTGAAGAATTCCTTGTTCGTATCCCCACGACACTTTAATATATTCTCATATTTGTATCGTCTGTGTGTATAATATATATATATATAACACACGTAAATCTTGAAATGGACAGAATAGCCACTGATCTATATTTTCACTGCTCCACCCTAAGTTTTCTTTTTGTTTTCCTTCATAAACTCTATTTTATTCTTTTAACGTGCTGATGAAGAAGCTTTTGTGTTAATGCGTTTTGAAGGAATGAATTACGTCGTCATTATTTTTATTATTACTATTATTTTTTGGATTTCTGCAGAATAGATAGCAGTATTACTGTAAACCAAATTATATCACCATTTAAATAACGTGAGAATCTAACCCGCATTACTGGTATATGTATGAAGATTCTATTGAACAAAAAAAAAAAAAAAAGAAGAAAGGCATGTGTATGAAGAATCCCTCGTTTCTTTAAATACTTTTAACCTTATTTTTTTCAATAAATCTCATGCCTTTCAGATCAAGTACTTCAGTTCTGAGGTTGAGCGAGTCTTTTTAAGTTTTTTTTTTTTGTTTTGTTTTGTTTTTTTTTTTCCTTTCTGTTGGAAGTACTGAGCAAATAAATCTTTAGGCTGATGAGCTGCAGGCTTCTTACAAAAGAGAACGTATAAAGATTAATCGATCGCGTTATATATTAATGCCAGGTGACAGAGTTGTTGTTTTGCGCAGGTAATTAAAGCCCCATTTTTAAGAATTGAATTAATAAGCAACCTGAATGACGATGATATATGATTGTATAATATATTTGCGATCTATGCGCGTGTATAAAGGACTGAGCTAACTTAAAATAAAACAGTACACAAAAAAAAACTTAAAATAATCAGTTCCTTGGGCCTCTCAATCAAGGATGCAAAGTACAAACTGAACTGTATTATTTTAAAAGTTTTTATCTTTCGAGTAACGGGCATATGTGTTTCTGGGGTCTTTCAATAATGTTTTTTGTTTTTTTTGTAATATTCTTTTTTCCCTTCTTTTATCAAAAACGGGGGTGATATGGGCCCAATTTCCGTGCTGTCACCTTTTTTTTTTTTTTTTTTTTTGATAATTGTGCTGTCACGTTGTCAGAATATATTTTTTCTCTTTTCTTTTCATGTCGTTTATGCCATTTGCGTTCCAATTGATTTCCATGCCGTCATATTGTCGTTTTCTCTTTTTTGTGTCTTGAGTCGGTTCACTATGTTGTGAGATGGCAGCCGTACGATCTTCATTTGACGCTGGTCGTTGTGTCAAAAGAAAGTTCTTTATTACGTGAAGTGGGGCTTTTTTTCTTCCTTAATCTATTTTGAACACTATTTCTCGTATATATTTGTATAATCGTATATATTTAAATTAATTTTAATCAAGTTTGGTGGCCTTCTTTTGCTCCTGGTTAGTCTCTCTTTTGGCGATGTTTTTTAGCGCAATAATACAGCCACACAAATAACAACATAAGAAAAAAAAATAACAATAATTGAAAGAACTTTTGTGGGGCTGAATCCCTAACTATTTTCATAATTTTCTTTTCACATCCACTATTTTATTATAATCTATTATTTCTTTATCTCTATAATTTTTTGCCTCAAATTTTCGGAATGAAGCCCTTATTCATACATAATTGCAATTACATTTTTTAACAATAAAGAACATAAACATGAGATAACTAGTGTTGATAAAAAAGACAATGGAAAAAAATGAATTCAATAGCATAAGAAAAGCAGAAAACGAATCTTTAAGAAAAAAAATTCAATTTTATAAAAAAATAAATGATTAGCCATTAAAAAAATGATTAAAAAAACATAAACATAAAAAAAAAAAGACAAAGAAAAATTGTACTACAAATTGTAAAGAAAATTAAACTTAATTCTCATCAATTTTTTTTCAAGTCATTAAAAAATAAAAGTTAGGGTCATTAAAAAATAAAAATTAGGGCTCTACTATAGTTTTCAAAATAGCAATAGTTTATAATTTGGGATATAATAATGTGGGTGTGTTGAAAGAAAAAAAAAACTATATAATTAGTTTTCTTTTTATTATAAAATTTAATTATGTAATTAAGTCTATTATAATTATATTTTTTTGTCATTTTATGTGAGGCTCTTTTTGTCATTAGAAATTTTAATACGAAGAGGGTGTGGAGAATACAAAGTGATATGTAAATAGATCCACCTTTTCATTAATTGCAATAAATGTTTTTTTTTTCAACTAACTAATTTATTATAACTACGAGATAAATATCTTACAGTTAAAACGACGACGATATTCATCAATAAATAAATATTAAAATAACCATTAAAACAATATTAGATAGTTTTTAATAGCTATCTGTATTGATAATATATATATATATATATATATATATTCGTTGTCATTCTGAGATTAATATCTATTACATAATTAGAGCTCGGCCTGAATGTATTTATTTTATTGCAGATATGGCATGTCTGGCAAAGAAAAGAAACAAAAATAAAAAACAAAGAAAAACACATTTTCGCTTACTGGCCCTTTATGTTTTGCATACAAGAAAAGAAAAAGCTGTTACTAAACTGTAATACGTTCATGCAGAAAAAGAAAAACAAAAAAGATAAATTTGCAGAAACTGTTTTACCTTTCAAATTCTTAAGCTATCTGTCCATTTACTAAAGAAGTCACTTCTGTTAAGCTTAGAATATTTGAGAAGCTTGGAGACAAGAAAATGATATCTGCGATTAATATATATATATATTTGCAGAAACTGTTTTACCTTCCAAATTCTTAATTTGGCCCATATTGAGTTATCATTCTCATCATGTGTTGCACTTTTGCTCGTTTTGGTTCTTTCTACCCACTAATTACGTGTCAAAACTTCAGTAAGTGTCAGTCTTGCATAAAGGTTTATTTTTTTTAAGATAAATTATATTTGTGCCCCCTAAACTATTGGTGTGTTATAAAAATTCTCCCTAAACTTTAAATATAGTAAAACAATTTTCTGAATAATTCTTCATTAGCACGCTTATCTCTTATCTGCCTTCTCTGTTCTGTTAAATTTTGAACGATAAGTGTCACGTTTTTAGCACTCTCATTGTCAGGACAAATCCTGAAATCCATTCCATAATTCCCAAAATCCTATCATCGTCTCCGGCACCGGCGAAGGTGATCCCGCCGGAGCTCCAATCCCGCTCCTTTCATCCGCACATCTCCTCCTCAGACAGCGCTCCTTCCTTCTCCTCCAACCCTCCTTCAACAATTTCTCCTCCGATCCAAACCCTAACCCCTCCGATGCTGACCCTTCTTCCCCTAGATCCCTCAACAACAACACTTCTCGCTTCTCTCCGGCTGTCTCCTTCTTCGCTCACAACTCCCGCATCGTCGTCGCTCTCCTCCCATGCGCTGCCTTCCTTCTCGACCTCGGCGGCACCCCCGTCGTCGCCACTCTCACCGTGGGCCTCATGATCTCCTACATCCTCGACTCCCTCAACTTCAAGTCTGGCGCCTTTATCGGAGTCTGGCTTTCTCTCATCTTCTCCAAGATCGCCTTCTTCTTCTCTTCCTTCTCTTCTCTCTCCTCCTCCTTCAACTCCCTCCCTCTCTCCTTCGGCCCCTCGCTCAAAGTGCCGCGCCGCCGGCTCGCTCCGGGTTGCAGTTCTCCCACGAAGTCGTGAGGATGGTGGAGAGATGGGATCTAGAGAGAGAAAGTTCTTGGGAGAGAGTGGGTGATCTGAAGGACGGGAGGGTCAGCAGAGATGCCATTGACGCCGTCGGGTGGAGAGGGAAGCTCTATATGGTGAACGTGAAGGGCGGCTCCATGAAGGATGGCGTCGTTTACGACGCCGAGAAAGACGTGTGGGAGGAGATGCCGGCGGGGATGATCGGAGGGTGGAGGGGGCCGGCGGCGGCGATGGATGAAGAGGAGATGTTCATGGTGGATGAGGCGACGAGAGTTTTGAGGAGGTACGATGAAGAGAGGGATGAGTGGGAAAAGGTTGTGGAGTCGGAGAGCTTGAGAGGAGTGGAGTAGATTGCGGCTGGCGGATGGAAGCTTTGTGACGTTTGGCCAGGAAATACACAGAAAACCTGAGAAAAGGATGAGACAAAATCGTCATTTCATATTACATTAAAATTTAAATATTTCAGACACGTCACACTTACTGTGTAAAATTTAATATAGGGGTGAATAAGGAGAAAATGTGGTAACGGAGAATTATTTAAGTGAAAAATTTGTTATTTTTAAAATTTAGGAAGAATCTTTATAATAATTTATCCTTTATTTTATTTTATTTTTTTATTGCTTTGAATTCAATACTAATTAGCCTATTACATCCCGACTAAGGAAATTGGAGTCTCATATTATCATACGATAGCCCGTGTATGTCTATATACATACATATATATACGTGTGTGTACATGTGAATGTGTGTATATGTATATGTACGACATGGAGATGCAATATATACGACATTGCAGGCAGGATCTATACACTTTCTTCTGGCCGTGCAATTCCTTTACCATCGTAAGGGTCCCATGAGTTCGGTGGAGTCCAGAGGTATGCTCTCATAATGGTTACCTGTTTCGGTGGCAGTCGCAATAAGAGAGAGTACACACACACATATATATGTACCTATCTATGTATATATATTTGTTTATTATCAAAGCTAAATTGCTTTCCAAGACTCTCTTTACATAAACATCCATCTGCTGACTGCTGCCCCACCCATCTCCAACTTAAAGAGTGAAGATCGTTACGTAGGATATGAAAACTGGAGTTTGCTAAGGAACAGTTTTTTTTTTAATAAAAAAAACTCGAAGTCCTTGCAGGGGTCTACAAGCAAGCAGGCAGTATAATCTCGTATAACATTAAAAGAATATATATATATATATATATATTTTTTTTTAAGATCTTCCAGAGAAAAATAAAAAGAAAAATAGAAGAGGAAGAAGATCCACTATATATCTATCTAAGGAGGGAAAAGAGAGAAGAAACCAGATGTTGACAGTGACAACTCAGGGGAATCAAGCTGCAAAAACAGTGGTCAATCTTATGTGGTCCTGATCTCAACCTAGGTCAGTGAAAATGAAATAAATTGGTCCCCTCTACAATCAAATCTACCCACTAAATAATGCGCTTATGTTATCTTGGAGAAAACAATTAATTAGATATTCTAGAGAAGGGTAAAGACCAGAAAATAAAAAATAAAATAAAAAACTGATTTGTTTGTTTTTTTTTTTTTTTTTTTTTTTTTTTTTTTAATTGGTAGTGGTACTCGTTGTTCATATTAGTCACTGCTGATTAGGGGATTTTCTAAGAATCTGCTTTGGACAAGGGGCTTAAAATTTTCTTAAATCTTTCTTGATTCCATCTTCAGGTCTTCAGGTGATGAGAGAAGTGTATTTACTTGGGATTATGTGCTTTCTGTCTAGCCTGCACTTCTCTCTCTCTCTCTCTCTTACACGCTGTGTCTTTTCACGCTTCACCATATTGTGATACTCACACAAGGGTAACAGGGTTTAGTCATGTTCTTTTTCTAGAGTTACTTTTTTTTTCTTTTTTTCTTGTTAACTTTTTCCTCTCCCTAGTAATCCAAAAAAGGAAAACTAGCAAAAAGAGGAGAACACTTGAGATGGAAATTAGCGAGGAACTAGCAGAGACCATGCAGCAAGTTACACTGCTCAGACCACTATCCAGTGTAGTAGACACACACATGCACATATGTGTTTTGCTTCCCCATGAGTTGTGTGTGTTTTCTTTTCTTTTCTTTTCTTTTTTCCTTTCTAATTGGGAAATGTTCTTTCTCCAATCTATGGCTTTTCTTGTTTAATGCCTATTTCATCAAAAGAATTATCATAGAGGGTTAGGACATAGTACTTTTTAAATCAGAATCATATTAGATCGTGCTTAATGAAGGTCTGATGGTTAAGAAAAACGTGTTGGATTTTTTTTTATACCCAATTAACCAAACTGAAAGAAAATTGGTATTTCTGTACTAAACTTCAACTTCCATAACGTAAAAGAAAAGTCCTTAAACAGGTTACAAAGAGTAATAACAAGGTCCATCATAAACTGAAAGAAAACTGGGAAAAAAGAGTCTCCATTATTAATTCCCCTACATGTGAGCCTATCATGTAATATAAAGACCACTCACAACTGAAGAGCCAAATCAGGCTGTTGAGAATCCTTCCATAATAGTAATTCTTGAGTACTAAAATCCGGTCGTCGATCATGATGATATTCAGCACTACTACTAGCACCAGCTCTTTCATGCACAATACATGATGTCTCATTGTACAATGGCATTGGCAATATTCCCAACTGAGCTGAAGATGATGAACCACAGGGAAAAGGATTATGATCCTGGTGATCATTACTTAGCAGCATTTGCAGGCTTGAAATCCCATTGCGAAATCCCTCCAAGAACTGATCCGTCTCTGTTGAGTTACACATAGAGTTTGAGTTCATCAGATATTGCCAATTATTACCACTTGTCCCGGCCTGAGAAGAACCAGAAGTTGACTTGAGATCAAAGATATTGTTTTTGTTGACAAAGTCTTCAAGTCTTGATTGCCAATTAGTGCTGGAAAGTTGTTCATCATCATCAAGATCATGATCACCAACCACTGGCTGTTTCCCTCTAAGCATTGACTGCCAATTACTACTGAACAGTTCATTATCATGTTCAACTATCTGTAATTGTTTCCCTTTCTGCAGCTTATTAGCTTCTGCAATCATGTCAATAGTTTTCATGAACCTTTTACCCGTATTCGGATTATGAACCGGGATGACCCGTAAATGTGAAGCTAACCAGAACTTGCTATTCTGAATGTTGGTCTTTTTTTGTTGTTTATGTTGAGCAAGATTTTGTCTAATGGTAGTGCTCAAGTTTTGGTCACGTGGGTAAGTCCTGTTTCCTGTGAAGGAGCTACCAAAGACATTGAAATTTGTACTAGTAATGTTATCCATCAAAATTGGCCTTTTCCCTAGTACGTGATCATGCCCTTGACTCGGTTCCTTCAAAGGGAACATAAGATTATTGTTGGTCTTTAATATTCCTCTATCAATAGGATCACGAATTTGTATGCCACTAGAAGAGCTGATCAGAGGGTTTCCTTGTGTGGAAGACTGGATGTTAAGAGGATTAAGGAATGTGTTGTTTTGTTGATTGTAAGCGAGATTCGAGCTCCCGGCCGGTAAGTTATGGAGAAGATTGTAAGAAGAGGCAATATTTGTACTTTGTGGACAAGATGGTGAAGGAAGCACAAGTGTTTGTGTTGTTTGGTGTGGAGGTATTAACGGAGTCTGAGATGGGTTTGGAGGTTTAGGCAGACATTTGATGAGTTTACTTGCGGCTACTTTCTGAGCAGCTGGTCCCAAATCCTTAACAAAACGTAGAAGGCTTTCTTTGTATCCATAATTATCCCCTTTGTCTTCGCTCTACAATGAAAATGCATGTTAGTCAGCTAATATTAATGGAGACCATATATAATACTGTTATGTGATGTGATCAGAATATCATATGGGAAGATGCTATGGGAAAAATTTATACAGTACAAAATGAAACTAAGAAATTAATATAGATAGAAAATAAAGCTACAACTAGTTCTTCAAAGCCAAAAAAAAAAAAAAAAAAAAAAAATTCTTTTTTTAGGGTGACTAAATACTACAAACTTGAATTGATTTTGTGTATTTTGATTTTTAAATTAAACAAAATCATTTAGTTGTAATATAAAAGTTAAAAGGAATTTTATTTATATGTATTGTGGGTCTATGCCTATACAATCCACAACCCGACGTTTGATTTTGCAGAGCCAAATATCAACATTCATCATTATTGTGTTACGTTTTAACAAGAAAAGCATGTCACAGGATAATTCGAAACACAAGTGAGACATATTTTCTAGCAGAAAGATAAAAGCATTCCAATAATAAACACATGACGCAAACAGATAACTAAGTACAGCCAAAATGCATGAAAGGTGAAAGGTTGGCATTAGATTAGTAGCTAAGCCTTTTTTTATCTTATTAGCTATGGCAGATAAATTAATCCAACAAGTTTAGTCGCTCTAAAAATCCCAAATTCCAATATGTGTGCTTTCGTTTTCACCTTTTTGGCTTGAAAATCGTAGTATGAGAATCGATAACTTACCTCAACGAGTATTTTGGGGGCATTGTAGATGGATGAAACTAGTGATTCGTTCTCACTGACAAAGCATTCCCAAGGCCTATAAATTGGAGGCCTTCCTCTTTTAGGTGAAGTTGAATTCTCACCATCTCTTGATCCTGTTCAAGAAAGGAACAAATGAACCCAAGTTACGCTCCATAATTCCACACAAACATAACTAGTAACGCAAACATGGAAGTACGTGTATCTTATTAGGTGATTATGATCTTCAATAGTTGTGACACATGGCAGTGATATTGGTAGAACTGCAATACATCACATTGTATATACGTTATATTTTTCATCTATCAGTTGATTGGAAATAAATAAAAATAAAAAATATGATCGGAGCCGTTCTATCAGCTGTCACCCTATAACTGCTGAAAAGGTTTTAATGAAAGAGATTGCTTTTAAACCTCATTTGATATCTAAGATTTAGATTGCACGTAATCTAGAAAATAGACTCAAATGATATCGATTAAAAAAAAATGCCTTCTACTCTAGGCCGAGTACGAAGAGCTTATGTTACCAATCAAGATTTGGTCAAGTAAAGGAATTGAACTTGTGAAATATCTTCTTTGTCTTTTGAAAGGCGTGGTAACAATTACACGCTCTAATTCTATATTGTAGAGAACAACAAAATCGCATAAATAAATCAAATAAAAACAACCGCTTAAAGTTTATAGATGTTTACTTGAATATAAGATTACGCCATCTTTCAACCACTACAATAATTAATAAAATAATGATGAAAAAGAAGTTTACAAAGAAAAAACAATCACACATCTCACAATTCTTCGTGTTTTCTCTAACCCTTTTACATAAACTCAAAATTGGTGGCACCATTTTATAATGAAAAGTCAGG